ACTTGATTTGACTTCTCGTTGCCATGACGATTGGAGATAAGAATGTTGGAAATATTTCATGTGGAGAGCCGCTTTTCATTTGTGCAGAGAGCGACAGTGTTGGAGGTATTTCATGTATTTCTGACTAAAGAATGAGTGTTTTTTTTTTTTTTTTTTAGAAGGACTTTGAATAAACGCAAATGTTTCAAAAGTAAAGTTTTGGGTCAAAGATTCAATTCACAAACTTATAACAGGTGGAAAGAAAAGCAGCAGATTTGAAAGTTAGAGTAAATTAAATACTATTTGTAGTTTATGTATTGTGTGGATGGATGGATAGGTTTGCGGATGTTTCCTCCAGGTACCCCAGAGAGAGAGAGACCAGAGAGAGACCAGAGAGAGACCAGAGAGAGAGACCAGAGAGAGAGACCAGAGAGAGACCAGAGGGAGAGACCAGAGAGAGAGACCAGAGAGAGAGACCAGAGAGAGACCAGAGGGAGAGACCAGAGAGAGAGACCAGAGAGAGAGAACAGAGAGAGAGCAGAGAGAGAGACCAGAGAGAGAGACCAGAGAGAGAAACCAGAGATAGACCAGAGAGAGACCAGAGAGAGGCCAGAGAGAGGCCAGAGAGAGACCAGAGAGAGGCCAGAGAGAGAGAACAGAGAGAGGCCAGAGAGAGAGATCAGTGAGAGAGAGACCAGAAAGAAACCAGAAAAAGAGAAACCACAGCAGTGATTGTAGAGACTGGCCTCCTGCTGGTGCCCAGAGTCAGCTTCATTCTGGAACAGTCTTCCTGAAAATATGAGGCTTCTTCTCTGAAAATGTTTAATCCAGGTTCTTGATTCCGATGCCATTTGTGGTCTTTCTTTTCTTGTGTTGTTGAGTCGCCCTGTGTAAGAACTGTGTTACATAAATAAACTTACCTTCTGCTCCTTTGTCAGTGGGAGAGAGTGTGTGTGATGTTGTGTGTGTGTGTGTGTGTGTGTGTGTGTGTGATGTTGTGTGTCCTTGGCCTCTGCTCCTTTGCCTTTGTCCTTTTTTTCTCGTATTGTGGTTCTTCTCTTTGTGTGTGTGTTGCAGGTGTCGCTCTATAGTGTTGTCAAATGTGAACCGTTGTGTGACCCTCGTTTGTGTATTGTGTTGCAATTCAAGATGAGAAAACGACACACAAGACACACAACTGCAAATAACATGAGACTTAATATAAGTAAATCCAACAGGCAAAGTCCAGGATGCAACGTTTTGTGATTAGCCTTTTAGCTTATAGCATTAAGCTAACGGGCTAATCACATCTGCATTTCATATTTGAGAACGTGAAGGTCTTCAAATAATTGCTACACAAGCTTCTACATCTAAGACTCTTTCTATACAGCGGCTTGGCTTCATACTGATGTCTCCGTAAAAAAATATTTTTTTTCATTTATTTATTTTATTTATTTTATTTATTTTATTTTTTTTATTTATTTTATTTTTTTTATTTATTTTATTTATTTTATTTCAATATAACAGACCAGAACGAGCCCAAAGAGAGAGACAAGAGAGCGACCACAAAGAGAGACCCGAGAGAGACCAGAGAGAGAGACCAGAGAGAGACCAGAGACCCGAGAGAGACCAGAGAGAGACAAGAGAGAGACCACAGAGAGACCACAGAGAGACCCGAGAGAGACCAGAGAGAGAGACCAGAGAGAGACCAGAGAGAGACCAGAGAGAGAGACCCGAGAGAGAGAGAAACCAGAGAGAGAGACCCGAGAGAGACCAGAGAGAGACCAGAGAGAGAGACCCGAGAGAGACCCGAGAGAGACCCGAGAGAGACAAGAACGAGACCAGAGAGAGACCAGAGAGAGACCAGAGAGAGACCAAGCCCAAACTTACAACAGCAATCGTCTCGGAGGACTTTCCAAAGTTGTCGATTTACACAACCACAGATCAGAGAATCAAACCTTCTGTGTAATAATAACAAACACATAATGGACCATAGGGAGTCACTGTAATGTTAATAAAAGTCCATAAATACTAATAATTTTCCTGGATCATCGCTGTCCTGGTTAAACACCTTTGAGTTGCTTTGTCTATGAACCGTGCCATACAAATAAACTTGCCTTGGGTTTTAAACAATGGCCCCATCGCATCACAACCTCCAGGACCCCTCACATCTCACACCCAGCTGTGCGTTGTCTACATGCCCCGGGGCAAACACATCTGGAGTCAACACACACACAATAAGTCAGAAGAGAAGGAGGCGAGGATGTAAGGATGGAGTGAGGATGTAAAGGGGGGGGAGGAGGAGGGAGGGGGGAGGAGGAGGGAGGGGGGAGGAGGAGGGAGGGGGGAGGAGGGAGGAGGGAGGGGGAGGGCTGCAGGAGCTATGTCCAAAAGGCAGATTTCAGTCCTGAGCCTAAATACTAATCCTATAGCAGGTGAGACAGAAGAACCCAGTGTCTCTCTCTCTGTGGAATATGTCTGCACTGTCTGAGGAAGTGGAGATATTTAGATTATTTACTATTTAACTTATCCGGTTCATATGAAAGTGTCGGTCTGTAGACTCTAAAATCTCTAAATGTTTGATAATACTGTGTGTGCCGTGTGTCATGAAGCCATATCTGTTTTGGGAGTGAGTTTACAGGTTTTTTATTATTATTTTTATCTGTTCTTATTTGTATTTTTGTTTTTGTGTATAGACAGATGGATGGACGGATATGTGGGAAAAACACAGGAAGCGCACTGACACATAGAGTGGGATGACCATGTTTAGTTAATAAAAACATTGGAAATAAAATATATACAAGAAAATAAAAAAAAATAATGAATACAAATATTAGAAAAATAATTCATAAAATAAAGCAAAATAAAAATAAAATAATTCATAAAATAAATAAATACACAAAATTAATCAAATGAAATAAGAAAATAAAATCAATAAAATCAATACAATTAATAAAATGAATCAAAGGAAATTAAAAAGACAAAAAAAATTAAAATAAAGTTAAAACTTAAACAGCTAAAATGAATAGAAAAATAAATACAATTATATATATAAAAAATATATATATATATGTCATGGTAAAATATGGAATGCTTCTTATAAGATTCTTTCCATTGGGTCTAACTATATGTTTTATTTATGCCAAAAAAGTAGGTACCGCAGCTTTAAGATCCATCAATATTTAATGTTTGTAAAATCTATACTGCATTTGATCAAAAATAAAAACCCTCCAATTTAAGCAACAAAAACACATTTAGATTTTCTTTCCAAATCCAGTCTCAGTTCGTTTCTTCCTTTCTCTTTTGTCTCAATCGTTTCTAATTAGCGGTGACCTCGCTTGATGCATTTTCCCATTCAGTGTCAGATTCAAAAAGAAAAAAGGAAAAAAGGTGTAGGAGGACTGCTTTTATTTTGAAAAGCCGAGCTGCTGTCAGGGCCACGCTCTCGCAATCAGCCTCATGTTGTTTTTATATCCACCGGCTCGGCTTCTCTGGATCCGCTCGGCCTTGTCCGCTCCGGGGCTCTGTGAATACGGATAGTTGACCTCAGCGACTCTCACGGCGGGCTTTGAATCACGGCTTTTGTTTGTCTGTGATTAAACTGTGGATAAAAGTTAATGAGGAGTTTGAATGAGAAGAGGAAGAGAAAAGGCAAGTGGTAAAAACATTTATATTCTCTGTTCTCTCTGATGTTTTTGTTTATAATCCGGGAGAGAGGGTTGTTTTTTTGTGGATCTGAAAACTCAGCTGGGATTGAACTCGGAGACGTACACTGCAAAAAATGGGAAGATAAAAAAATGACGGTGCACATTGGGGTAGTCTCGCAACGTTTTTCCAATGTGGTTTTGCTGCAAATGGAAAATACATTCTTGAATCTTTAAAATTGATGTGAAACGAGTGGATTTGGTCTTAATTTGACTTAATCTGAGGTCGTTCTGTGTTAAAACAGTATTTGCAAACGGGGCAAAGCTACTTAGTCCCACAGTTTTTATTTTTCACTTATTATATTCAATATTTAATGTACATAAGATAATCCA